GGAGGCGTCCAAGGACGAGGTTCGCGAAGTGATGGCCATGCTACCCCCGGTGCAGCTTAAGGCGACCCCACCGATCACCACTGAGGTGGAGATGGAGGCCCAAGTTGAACGGGTTGAGAAGGCCCATGAGAGGCTTCAGAAGACACTTGCGGAATTGAAGGAGTTCAGGTGTGCTTGATTGATTGTGATATCGCTGGGAAGATTCCACAAGTCATATACTGTACACGCGGACGTCTCCTGCAGGTGTGGTGGTATTCTCTTTTTGTGGTTGCTGCACGCTTCTGTGATCTTAGCCCTTGATGTGAATGCTAATGTTGCCACTGTCTAGTGGATTTACCAAACAGAGTTTGATTTTAGAGAATGAGGCTTGATCAGGACTTCTTGCTCTTGGCTCCAGTCCCCTTGGCCTTGCTCGAGCTGTCCAGCTTGTCCGTCAGCGGTTGATACGGTGAAGCCAGGAGATACTCTGGAGCCCGCTGAGCGCTTTCATCCCTTCGCGGCTCCCCCGCGGATGGCCGGCGCCGTTGTTCCTCGTGCATCTTATCTAACGATTCGCCCACGATATGATACTTGGCCCAGTTGATAGGAGGCATCCGGACCACGTTCTGGGGAGGGGGGATCGTTCCAAACCCAGATGCCTTCCCTTCCGTCGAATCAACATCCTCCATCTCATCATCCTCATCTTCCTTCTCGTCGCCATCCGTAGTGTCATGGCTGAAGTTGATGAACCCGCCCTTATCTTTCGCCGTGAGATTCCCCGCAGCCAGTTCGCGCGCAAAGCCTTCCGGGTCCGCTGCCGCCGCCCGTTTCATATGATCTAACGTCCGGATATCGCGCAGGCTCTGCTGCTTTTGGAGCTGCAAGATCGAGATAGCAGACCGCAGTGCGATCGCATCGGGGTTCTCGCTTTCGGAGATAGGCACTGGAGCGGGTTCCGCAGCGAAGAAGGGTGCTGCACGCGGGGCCGGCGGGGGAGGAGCAAAGTCCGGCGTCAAGCTGTTATAGGGCGGCGCTGCTGTTGTGGGAGAGGGCGATGCGGCGGGAGGGACGATGGGGTGCGATACCCCGTTTGCCGCGGAGGGAGGGATAACAGGTGCGAGATGCGCAAAGGTCGGTGTCACAGGAGAATACGGCGGCCGCGGCGGAGTCCCTGGCCGCTCAGGCGAACTTTCTTGGGATTCTTGTACAGGCTGCATATCCTGTGTTGCTCCCCGTGCGGTTTACTTAGGCTGGATTATTGTTGAGGGGCGAAATTGAAGGACGGGATCGAACCCTCTATCAGGCGGATTGCTGGATCGATGGACTGCTTGCCGCGATCGGCGCTCAGTGACGTCTGCGCTGTGCTCACTGAGGGGTCCGTGTTTGGGTGTTAGGAGGTGGAAGAGTGAGGCGAGCTGTTTGTCTGCCAGCAGAGGATAGATAGGGATGTACTCTTGCTCTGGCTATCAGGATGCTATTTGTTTGGGAGTAGGTGGTGCTATAGCAGAGGTGGAAAGTGGTAGGCAAGAGGCAGAAGGCAGTGGAAGATGGAAGTGATGGGGCAGTCGGGCTGAATGGAGATGATAGGCGGCTTATCGCCAGGGGATTCATTATCGGGCAGTGCGGAGCAATCGAAGCTTCCAGCCGCCAACCCAGGAACCGCAGCCATCAAATGGTGTAAGAACAGGACGTATCTATAGACAATGCAGAAATGGAATGGCCAGGGTTATTTCGCATATCGTTCTTCTATTCTCTACTATATTGACAATCTCCACCACCGTGCGGAAGAAGGTACAAACCACACCGTACCGTAGATGGATGCATGGCCTGATGGGTGGTGGGCTGACTGAATCGGAGCTGCAAAATCCTCACCGCCAAACTAAAATTTAGCAAAAAAGATCCCCGGGCCTCCGTTGTCGCAACTTGATTTTCCTCCCCAGGCACCCCCTCCTCTCCTATCATCCCCATTCAAACCCCTCAAAATGAAGCGCAAGACAGACAGCAGCTCGAGTAAGGGTCAGCCGGAGACGAAAAAGCGCGCTTTGTCCAGCGAGGAAGCCGCTGCGCGTTTCCGCGACGGTCTATTCGATCCCTCGGAGCAACAGAAGTATACCGAGCAGTATGCTCAGTCTGCTCCGTATGTCCATCTAACCCGACCACCAATTCGTCTCCCATCCAGATGTTTCATTCAAACAAGAGACTGACTATCGCTCAAGTTACAAGCATGGAGTCATTTCCCCTTTGATCGAGCCCTCCCTCTTACGAGCAGTCCGCGACGAAATCCAGGCCCAAGTCGACTTCACCGAGAAGGAGACCGATATCTACAAGATCTTCCAGTCTGGCGATCTGGCCAACTTGGACGGGCTTGATGACGAGTCCCTGTCGAAGCTCCCTTCGATCCTGAAGTTGCGCGATGCTATGTACTCTGCTCGGTTCCGCGAATACCTCTCCGCCGTGACCGGATCCGGAAAGCTCAGCGGTCGCAAGACCGACATGGCCATCAACGTCTACAACGAAGGCTGCCACCTGCTGTGCCACGACGACGTCATTGGTAGCAGACGTGTATCCTATATCCTCTACCTGACCGACCCGGACACCCCATGGCAAGAGGAGTGGGGTGGTGCATTGCGCCTGTACCCCACCACCACGAAAAAGGATGTCAACGGCGACGACGTCAAGATTCCCAGCCCCGATTTCAGTCTGAGCATCCCCCCTGCCTTCAACCAGCTGAGCTTCTTCACCGTCCAGCCCGGCGAGAGTTTCCACGACGTCGAGGAAGTCTACCACCCCAAGGAGAACGAAGACAAGTCCAAGAAGCGGGTGCGCATGGCGATCAGCGGATGGTTCCACATCCCGCAGGAAGGCGAAGACGGATACGAGGCCGGCCTAGAGGAGAAGCTCGCCGAGCGCAGCAGTCTGGCCCAGCTCCAGGGACGAGGCGACATCTACGATCTCCCGCAGCCCAAGCCGGTCGTCTGCGAGGAAGCGGACGGACAACAGGCTGTTGAGGGCAAGGGGAAGGGCAAGGCGAAGGTGGAGGAGGAACCCAGCGCCGAGTTCACGGAGTCAGACTTGAACTTCCTGATCCAATACATCCGCCCCTCCTACCTGACTCCGGACATCGCCGAGGAGATGTCTGAGACGTTCGGCAACGAATCCTCCCTCAACCTCGACCAATTTTTGTCCGACCAATTCTCCGCCCGGGTGCGCACGTACATCGAGGAGCAGGAGAAGCAATCGCTGCCCAACTCCTCGGACGAGATCCTCGCCCAGACCGGGTGGACCGTTGCCCGGCCCCCCCACAAGCAACGCTACATGTTTCAGCAGCACGGAACCGCCACGGAGGATCAGAAGACCCCGCTCCAGGAGCTCCTCAACGACCTCTTCCCGTCCCGGGCGTTCCGCAAGTGGCTGGCCCTGATCACCGGCGCGGCTCGCGTCTCCAGCTACGACTACCTGGCGCGCCGCTTCCGCCGGGGCCAGGATTATACCCTTGCCAGCGGCTATACCGGGGAGGAGCCCCGCCTGGAATTCACTCTGTGCCTGACGCCCACGCCCGGCTGGGAGCCCGAAGGCGCCGATGAGGACGATGAAGAGGAGGAGGAGGAGGAGACTAACGGCGAGTCCGAGAAGAAGTCCAAGCCCCCGCCCAAGCCCGAGGCCACGGACGATGCCAAGTCCGCCGACGAGCCCGCAGTGGGTGGATACGAGATCTACATGGCCGTCGATGACGAGGACGAGGGCGATGCGGCGATCTATCGGTCCGCCGCCGGCGACGAAGACGACAGCATTCTCTTCAGCACAGCGGCCAACTGGAACCGTCTCAGTATTGTCCTGCGCGACAGCGGCACGCTCAAGTTTGTGAAGTACGTCAGTGCCGCTGCCAAGGGTGACCGCTGGGATATTACCGGTGATTTGGGGGTAGAGTTCGACGATAATGATGAGGATGACGAGGATGAAGATGAGAATGATGATGACGAAGTTGATCTCGATGACATGGAGGAGGATGAGGACGAGGACGAAGGAGAGGATGAGGAGTAAACACATCTTTCATTCCCCATAACAAAAGATTCACCTGTATATAGACAACGCTTGGGAGCCATATTCCGACCAGAATACTAAAAATAGATCTTGTCAATTACCACATACATACATGAACAGCCACGATGCACCTGCATATGCCATATGACTCCCGCGTATGCTGAGTATATCCACGCTGCAGCGCAACCCCAAGTCACGGAACAAACAATCGCATGACAAACTCTTGCCCTGGTCCAAACCAACCCCACGCAGGCAGTTGGCCATCCGGTGGAGATATCTGGAGGCCTTTCCTATAACACAACAGCACCCAAACAAGAGCCCCAGCTCCCGATCGAAGGATTAACCAAACCCAGGTTCCAGTTGATTTGGTTTAGCTTAGTTCCAGCCTCCAGGGCAATACAACTCAAACCCCCCCCCCCCCCACCTCCGATTCCGACCAGGCGTCTTCGGAAGTCAGCCTTATACGGTTATACCGACGAGCGAAATAGGCAACAGCCTCATAGCCTCGGGCCTCATAGATAGATGGGCGCTACTGTACTCGGAACTCTGCCACATCTTGGTTCGGTGGTGGGTTCACTCCGTCGCCGTCGCCGTCCCCGAACACCGCCTCCACCTCCACTTCAACTAGTATCATCCAGTCATTGGTACTCCGAAGGGCAAGGCAGGATAGGGTAAGGCAAGGCAGGGCGCTGGGCGAGTAAGGCTGATTTCTTGGTTTAGTGCATCGACCCAACCAAGCCACCCTCTTACTCGAAGTAGTTGTATTCTATAGCCGGCGGGTTATAGCAGCTAGTAGTAGCGGAGCTTGTCCTTCTTAGGTGAATGGATTCGACCATGATAATGGCAATCTAGAGGCTAGTCTATGCGGAGAGGCTGAGGGACGCGGCGGCTGAGTGTTTCTGTATGCAGGTGTTTGCGTGAGGCTGATATCTTAGTCGCTCTATCCTGTGCAGTACACTCAGCATGCAGATCTGGTCTTGTTTTTCGCTTCGATAATAGGCTTGCGAGACCAGGCCTATCTTTCCAGACAATCCCCTTTCGTCATAAGTACTGAATAGTAGATGGTTGGGATAGAGTCTATAGGTAGTATGATTGTTGAAACTCCTAACGTGGAAGGGCATATAATAAATAAGAGAACGAGCGTGCACGGCTGAGGAGCTGCTTGTTGTGGTGCGATATACTCCGTGATGGCTTGGCCCCCTTCTTATCTGCCAGGTACAGTCCAGTACCTACTATTCTTGAAAGCTACCCATCCAAGGCCTGCACTTCCAGACTTCACTCCCAGATCCAAGCATCCAGCGTCAACAGAATACGAAAAAAAACCAAGGTTATGGCAGTTTCAAGTCTCCAGAAATCCCAAACACCATAACACCCCCTCCAATTTGCCACTTGCACCCTTAATGAACACCTACAGCCAACCAGCAATAGCAACGTCAACCTTAACCCAAACCTTTTGCAACGTACAAGCCTATAAAACAACTCCTCTCATTCTCAGCCAAGTCCCAAGAAAAAGGTACAAATTCCGCAAAGAGTGGCCAGCCTTAACCACGTGGCAACTCATTTCCTTCTCCTTCAGCCACAACTCGGACTTTCGGAGCTCATCGCTTCTTCCGTCCGTTCTTCCGAGGGACAAAAGGTCCGATGGGCTTAAGTCTAACTTCTACGTGTGGGAAGCGTGGCAGCGTTGGTCTGAGCTTCTTTTTCTTCCAGTCTTGACTTTCTCTTACTACTCGGTAAGGTAACTTTGGCCTATGTGGCATCGGAGTCGGAGTGAGGGAAGACGGGCAGGATGGAAGGATGGATGGATGGTTGGAAGAGGGGCGCATCGGCCCCCCCCTTCCCTCCTTTGTGGGAGTCTGTATTTTTTGATTCGATTGTACTGGACACAGCTAATTGCATTCTGAGGACTTTTCTCATTTGGTGTACTCCGTATAGGATATGGATAGACATTGGACAGGATTACGGAGTAACTGCAGTATGAGAAGCGGGGAAAGGCCATTGACTACCTTAGGTACAGTACATACATAAATGTCTCCGGACGGAGATAGGTACCAGTAAGGTTCGGACAATTATGTGTCAGCCGCCTTCTTTTTTCTTTTTCTAATGGCGCGCATGGGCAAGATTATCCGCCCTGGGCTTTTCTTTTGGACCGGGATTTGCTTGCTTCGCTTGGCTTGATGGCTTACCTACATCTTGGGGATTCAGGTTTTGTTTGTTTGCAATGTATCTTAAATCATCGGGGGTTGTCCGAGAGCGATTCATTGGTGTCATTCTCGTGGTTGTTGGTTCTAACTTACCCACTCAGAATCTCGATGGGTCGGCCCATCCGACACCTTGAATGACCGGTCCGGACTAAGGTTGCAGCTGCACAAACGAAAAGTGGTCCCTGAATATGGATGGCGGATTCTTCACCTCGCGTGCGCCGGCCTTGAAGAGATGGGCTCCACCACTTTCTGCGTTGTCTAGGACACAGGCTACAGCAACCGAGGTCCATCTCCATTTCTCCATCGAGGAGCAGAAGGATTCGCGGTGGAGTCGGGCTAGTGGCTTCGTGAGTAAGCGCTAGTCAGGGCCGACGGGATGGTAGACTAAGTCCAGAGGGGCCATTTGCCAAATGGGAGGGGAAGACTAAGCTTTACTTGTGAGTGCTTGTGAGGGGGAAAAAAGAGAGATCAATCTGAACTGCATTTGGTCATCGCGCGGGTGATTCACTTGCCAATGTCGACTAGGTAGTAGTCTAGTGGTTCGAGGATGCTGATTCGAGGGCTAAGTCTTTTGAGAAGGGTGGCCCTCACTTAGTGAGGTAGCATCGCATGGAGTTCGGAGCAGATACTGGTCTGTCCAACGCGCAAACTTGCCTGTTTCTTGTTCGCCTATCTTTCTTTTCTTAGTCAAGTAACATGTCTTTAATCTAACCTGGGCGCTTCTCTTCGGTAGCTGATGGAGTATTGGTCGGAGAGGCAACACCCAAGCCCCCCCGCGCGGACGAATTCCGAACCCGTGCAAGCAGGTTGAATATAGTCTGCTTGGTGGCTTCGTTGGCTCTGGGGGCAGGCGCCATGATGAGTTGCAGTTGGCATGGATCTGTTTGACCGGTGCATCTGACCCTGGTCTGGCATATTCACCCATGGCCATGCGCAAGGGTAGGAGGTGAGGTCAGCATGCACACTTTAATTAAGCGTGGGGTCCAGATGGTTATCTCTCCGACAGGTGAGTCCGAGCTTCGGATACTATGCGCAGGGCAGCTGCCGGACGACAACCTCATGAACAGTTGCCCCGGTTGACCTGCTCGATCAGCCTCAAATTGAAGGCCACGACAGCCTGACAGGCACTATTTGGTTATTGCTGAGGTTGACCCAGGCTTCGCAGCTGAAAACTAGACTCTACAGATGCTGTAGCCAGCCGGCTGAACAGCAGTCGTGCTCCGCTCGAGGCCCTGCATGCATAAATTAGATACTGAGTGCTGACGCGGTCACTGACAGAGTCAATGTAACCATCCTGGCCCGTTCGGCCCAGACACATCTGGAGATTCAATCTAATCAAGCGAGCAGAGTGCAAGGCCCGGAATCTGGCCTTCCCGCGCGGCGAAGGAGCATTTGTCGATAGTTAAGAACGACCAGACTCAAGCCCTAGGCAGGGAATACCCGTCATGAGAATCCTTCCGAAGCTGCATGGCCTCTCTGTTTAATCCTTCAAGATGAGCCTTGCATTGGTGCCTGAGAAACCTCTGCTGCGTCGCCACCGGGCCAGCTGCCTGGATGGTAGACTCGGAGAATGTACTCAGCAAAATGTGGAAGTGGATGGATGGGATGGGGTGGGCCAAATGCAGTCCCCCGTTCAGCAGGTCAAATCGGGCAAATTTCAGACTGTGCCCACTCGGGCAGGTCCTTAACGGGGCCGGATGGTGTCACATAGATTGAAGGCACATGGCCCAATAATGCACGAGGAACCCTGGCTCGCTAAGGCCCGTAGTCCGACCCCGGCTCTGTCGCCTAGTCTAGCGCAGGGCATTAATAGCTGACGGGCCATATTACTCGTAGTCTCACGCGTGGCTAACGATGATGGATGATGGAGTTCTATCCGATCGTTGGCCCTGTTGGAAGTTGGGCTTAGGACTGCTGAGCTTTGGAGGCGGGCTTCCGTGGTCCACACCACCCCTGCCCTGTAGGAAGGCTGTCGCATCGCCTATTTCCCCTCTCCAAAAGTGCTGCATGGCTGCAGAGTGCAGTCAAGGCGAGTAAAACACAATAGGCTGGACCGTTGGGATTAAGGTTAGGTGTTGTGATTGGAGAAGTCGGGCTGTCTTAATCTCCCGTCCAGACCAGGAAAGTCCGACATCGCACCTGTTTTTGTGCTGCCTGCCAAACCACTACCAATCTTTCCCGGATTTTTTTTTTTGGTTGATTTCAAAAGGATTCCCTTTCCTGCAACAATGATAATAACTGTAGTGATACGGCAGCCCCGTGGGGGTGTGGCGCACAAGAAACAGCTTTCTCACGCGGGCAGAGAAACCTGAAGGAAAAGAAATTGCCCAAGAGGAGGAAGGAGGGGCGGGTGAATGCATCATCCATCCGATCGTCGCCCGATTCCGACCCCGCCCCCGACTCCGTCGAAGGATGAATCAGAATGAATGAGTGGTGCCTGTTGGTTGAGGTGGTCGTGGTTGTCTGGTGGCTCTATCGAATTCTGATGACCCAGGTGCGCAACGGGTGTGGATGGATTATTTGCAACAATAATCCTTTCACTTCCCCTCAAGTGAATACCGGTAATGAGTTCACAATAATAGCAAACAATAATAACAACACAATAGTCTGGACCAGGTTTCGGTGCTACCCCCATCTTCTCAATTTAGACACACATATTCAACCAGTACTACCTTGGCTTCTGATCGTCTCCACGATTGGATGGCAGATGCCACGCTAGACTAGCGGGGAAATTCTTGCACGATCTGCAGGCTGGGGGTTCTTCCCCTCAACGTGGAAAAAGAAAACATGGCAATCAGTCGATCACCATCGCCCAAGTGACTCCCCCCTGTCATGGGAAAACAGGTCGCCGGCTGATGGGCCATGGAGCATTGCCGGATCCTTGATCTCACGTTGTTGATGACATTGGGCCATTTGCAATCACATGGTGTGATTGATGGATAGCACTGGTTTTTTCCCACTTGGGGAAGTACATGTGCTCCAAAACAGCTGGACTGGACTGGAGGAGTTTCAAGGTTGCATTGACTGACTCAGTCAATAATGTGAATCAGATGTCTCGGTGACTTAGTCCTCAAATGATTCCAAGCAAAACAGAAAAATACAAGGGGAACAAGCAATGGGAGCCCTGATGGATAGGTAGACTGAGTACGGAGACTCCGTACTCACTAGGTTCTGCGGTTGTAATAATGGCCGTCGATTTGATCCCTCAAGTGCAAGAAGGATCGAGTCGGTGAGGCATCAGCGACTGAGGCGGCCGCCACCGTATGGGCGGTAGGCCATGACACGACGCATAGCACACATCAGGCAAAGGGATGAAACTAGCTGAGACTCGTGTCTCGAGTTACAGCGACTGACGCTCGCTCCCAACACCCTGATCGACCAGAGAGTATTATTCAGCAGGTAAGGGCCTGCTGTACTCCGTAGAAGCGCGTTGATCATGGACAGCAGTGTAGAGGTGTACTCCGTAGGTAGACTAAAGTCCTCCGTGCACTTGATGGAGATGAAGTATGCATGTTGGTGATGGTCGCATTCCAAGGTACTGTATGTACTTGGTTGACGTGACTCTGCATTGTCCCAAAGAAGACGTCTGAATGTACTGTACGTGTGTTCGCTCTGTTGATAGTTGATACTCAGCAGGCAGTACACCAACTATGGTTAGACAGTCAGCCTGTTAGTTACACTGATGCTGTCTGACCTCACCACTGTACGGAGTTGTGTACTTTCATAAGGGAGGGGAAGGGATACTTACATGCACCATGATTATCCATACATGTCACCACCGTACCTCCACGCATACATCAGTAGTACATGTACATACTGAGTAACTTAGTACTGTACATACACTACAAGGCGTTGGGATTCTTGGCGTCCGTGTGGCTGAACGACTGACGCCGCTGCATGTCCAGAACCTCCATAAGCAGGCGTCTTAGCGGCGATCATTCCACCGTGGTTGCCATGTGTCGGCTGCTGGAAAGTCAAAAATGAATCATGTTTCGGGACTAGCTGAAGCAAACTTTGACGCGCGAGAGAAGAGCAACAGCAAAACAGATCATGACCATACCTCTCGCTTGCACCTGGGACTGGTTGAGATGATGAGCAGCTGGATGTGGTCACGGTGAAAACGCCCACCCTCTACGGAAAAAACGGCGCTTTGTTCCTTCCCTCCCCTCTCTTCCGACCGGACGTTGACCTTGACTTTGGCAAAGAGACGTACTGACGTACTAGAACCCTGTACCGTTGAATGGTGTTGGTTCTTGTAAAAATCGGAATTGAAGCTCGTAATCTTTCACACCGGCGGGTATTCTTACAATAGTCTCGCAGAACGTGCTTTTGTACCACCCAAGCGAGCTGTCAAGGACGCCATGGGCCCTTCGCATGATGGGTGGTCGGTCCCATAACTTCCCAGGAACCCAAGTTGTCACATAGGTGCTTGATATCAATGCAAGGCAGGGAGAAAGTGACCTTACATCTGCTCAGCTGCAAGGAGGACATGTTTTTGCTCTCCATAGAGAGATATAGAGAGACATGGAGGGGACATAGAGGGGGTGGTACTGTACATACACCATACGCAACATTACGCTTACGGCAGTTGGCAGACCGTGGGACCCCTGCGGCCGATCGTTCAGTGCAGCCACGTGAAAGCAGACCGCATCGCATCGAGATCGTTGCCGACCGTGGATGGCCTCTGCTTCTTCCTTGGGAACCTCACCCTCTTCATCCTCAACACGTACTGTCTACTAGATACAGCTCTCATCGGCCTTTCGAGTTTGTTGTCGGCTCCGGATCCAGAATCCTTTCAACTTTCAATCCGAGTGAACCTCAATTTGATTTCGTATTCGGATGATGTAAATGGGCAGTGCATACGAAGACAAGCTCACTGCAGTGCTTTTCTGCCAGCAATCATGCACTAGATACTGTATGTACAGTACCACCATTATCACTACCACCACCACCACCATCACGACGGGTAGAGGTGCCGAAAGTCTTGCAGTAACTGCATTTTATCATGACAGCTGCCTGTAAGCTGATTCGTGTAATTGGATTGGATCGACTCCAAAATCCCCCATTTATTTGGTGGGCCCCACTCTCCGGCTGTTGGTCCAAGCTGCAAGAACTCGCAAATTCTGAGTTAAACAGTCAGTCGACCAAAAAGTCACCACCTCAATTGTTCCAGTTCACAAGAGTACTGTACGTACGAGAGTGCTTCCTCCCACCTTTCTGGCCCGGCCATAATTACCAACCCAGCGCCCTACAGCAGCTCGGGGCCTAGAACTGGGACGTGCCAACCACCTGGCTCCTTTCATTTTTGACTTCCATTGTTCCCGCCGTCTCTCTCATTTTCTGAGTCTCATCATTTGTTTGCTACTTAACTTGCATTTGAAATCAGCCTTGCAAACCTGGTTCAATATATTGGACTATATCTTTCCCATCGAAAATCAGTTAGATTAAATGAGAAGAACAAAAACTCGAAGGCGCTGTCATGGCTGTACCTAGTAAGGTCACGGAGGACCTCGGTACGATCTACGCTCGAGTTGCCCAACTCAGCCCCTACAATTGCCTAAGTAGGACAAGCTCGGCTCTGATGACTTTGGACTGGATTTTTGCAGTAACTGTGCCGCTGTTAATCTGTCGGCTGTTCCAAAGACATCCCGCTCATCTGAACAACAAGTCAGTCAGTGATTATGCCTCTGATTGAATAAAAGCCTGGTTGGCAGTTCCATATGTCTGTGAATTAATTCGGACTATTTATCTGCGATGAAGGATCGCAAGCTGGAGCTTAACCGGGCGGTTACGCATTAGGAAAAAGAAGCCCAAGAAAGAGATGGATACAAATCGCAAAATTTGGCGGAGCCAGCTATCCGATGCGCTAGATCCCTTAAAGTGGGGGAACTAAGCACCTTTCAACTCCGGTACCTGACATTTTGTCTTCTTGTACCACTATGGTGTTCTGGACATGGAGAGTTTTTTTCGAACACGGGTAAAAGTTGTTGTGGCATGGCAGCAGTGAACTCCATCGGTGCCACTGGATGGAAGGGGTTCTATCCCCCCTCCCTTTCCAGGCTCCGTGGTTCCGATTGAACCTTTCCACCCTCCCAGTCGGCTCTTCTACAGTAGAAAAGAAAAAGGTGTAAAAAAAAAAAAAAAAAAAAAGGCCGCCTCGTGGCGGTGGACTCCTGTCGCAGCAGATCATCTCTCCCTTGAATGCTTGGCCGTTTCCAGACGGATGACCTGCCTTAGTTGTGGCTTTTTAGGTAACGATGTGCTCTCCTTCTTGCCTTCGCTTCAGGCTCCAAATCCGATTTCGATCTCTCGCCGCTTTGATAGTCGACCAGTTCACCATCCAAGCAATCTTGACCTGTAAATTCAGCATGCCAGAGTGAGCGTCAGTGGCTGTCACCCGAGCGGACGGCCTACCGGACTTGCGACCACACTATGTCTGACCAAGGGTGAATAATGCACTGCACTGTTATACGACCGGGGGTGTGGGTGAATTGTTGATGGACCGTTGCGGTCTGAGGGTGTGCCCATACTTGAGGACAAAATGCCAAGCGCCATCCAGCAGCATATGATACCTGCTGTATCATCTGTATCTCGCAGTAGTCCCCAATGAAACCCTATGCATCTATCACTCCGTGTCACATAGATCTAGCAATATTGGACTCTTGAGAAGGGGATGGGAGATCATGCTACATCGAACGCATTAGAAGAAAGAACTTGCATCGGCGATGGGAATTTTGGAAAGTTGCGTAGGGATGAGCAGAAGAAGGAGATAGAATTGATCCATTGCCTTAGATGACGGTTGCCCTCCGTGATAGACGGCTTGATTGCCCTTTTAAACCAGGGTACTACGTGTGAGCTGCATCAGATCATTCTTCACTGCTTTTTCACTGCTTCCATTTTTAAATTTTCTCCCTTTTCGTTCGGGGGTTTATTTTTATTCTATTTGATCTGAATTTTCTTCGTGTTTTTATGACCTTGGTATTATTTATCTTTTCCATTTACAATTCAATTAGCACGCATCTACTACGGGAATTGACTTCTGTGGAATGACCCTGGGTGTTATCCTTCAGACTAGTAAGTATGAGCCACCCATGCATCTGTCATTAATCTATCCCAGCTTTTGCCGGGAGAATGAATGAATTGTTTGAACTTTCTATGTCTCCATGTCTTCTTGACTTCTTCAACTACTGTCGAAAGTGTCTCCACCGACTGTTTCCAGACCCGCCCCGGGGCTCCGCTGACTAGTCAGAACATATGGTCGATAGCTCCCGCGCCTAAAAAAGTCGGCGAGTCGGTCATCATCATCAAGTTAACTTATCCATCCATCCATCCATCAATTTTCACCCCGATCCAGTTCTAGTGCCAAAAAATCACTTGCTTGCACCGCTGCACCGCTGCACCACACGCTCCAAGCCCCAAGCCCCAAGCCCCAAGGAGTCGGAGTCTGTTCTGCCCTTTTGCTCTTTCATCGATCAATCAATCAATCAATCAATCAGACAGCCCAGTGCCACCGTCTGGTTCCTGCCACTAGTCCGAGGTCCTATTCCTACTACGACCAATCGAGCATTACTCCGTATTTTGCAACTTACTCCAGTGTCCACCCTCTTTCTGGCTTCTTTCTAGTCTAGGCTTCTTCTCCTTCAACCGCCGGCCCCCTCCCTACTCTCGCTCTCTCGCTCTCTCGCTCTCTCTCATTCTCTCTCTCTCTCAATTCTCTCTTCTCTGAATCTCTTTTGTTTTCACCCTCTCTTCCGACTCGGAGACTACCGTACTAAACTACTGCGACTCTACCAAGTACATTACTACCACCACCACCACCACTATAGTACTGTACTTTTTCAGTCCGTTTCTGCTCGTCCATCTTTCTTGGCTGGCTCTTTTTTCAGCAGTCATTTCGCCCCTCTTCATCATCCCCGCAGCTTCGCTTTTAACTAGCCTGGTCACGTTAAGCTTCTGCTGGTTATCGGTCGGAATCTTTGCCCTAACTCTTCTTCCTGCCCAATTGTTCGTCTCCTCACTCTTGTGCCACGTTCCGCTGCACCGCCCGAGCGTTTTATTCTCGGCCATCAGGTAAGCTCCCTGTGCGATCCATTGTCTGCGAACCATGCCCCAGAACCATTGGTCCTGTGGTCTATAATTTCTGTCCACCCCCCCTCCATCCGTCTTCCCCCATGTGGTTGACCTCAACACGGATTGCTCATTTTTCCTATTAAAATTTAGCGCTCCCTTGCCTCTCTTCCCTTCCATTTCTGAAACGTCCCTTTCCTCTTCCTTGTACATTCTCCGTGGCCTCCATAAGAATTCAAGTGCCCTCGTTTACACTTTCTACATGATCCGTCCCTGAATAGGTACTCTGGCTGCTTTCCCGCCTGCTTGACTTGTTTCCGACACCTGCCCCGAACCTTGGCTGCGCTCTGCGTGATCAATCAGCTCGCCTTTTTTTTTTTTTTTTTTTTTTTTTTCGTTTTCCAAATACTTATCTCTTTGTCGCATAGTGACCGTCATCCGCTACACTATTATACCTTGCGTCTCGACTCGCCAAGCGTGAACTTCCACGAAATCTGACACTTGACCTCTTACGTGGTCTAGTGACAATCATTGTTGGCAACACTCTTCTTGGGCAAGCAGATTCTGGAGGGAATTCGACTCTTTGCGAAATAAAAGTAGAATTCTAGAGAAGGAGGAACAGAATTCCCCCGGGTGGTCCCCTGAACTCGAAAGCCGAACATCTCTCGATCTGGAGTCGCTTCCCTACGCGATCCTCGAACGGTACCTCGATCGACATCAATCTCTCGGCATTTACCGCATCTATCGGCTGGTCATTCAATATAAGACGTGTGTCCTACGATTGCTTCTCGATACGTCGAACATGATATAGTGAGGGAGGTACATTATTTTGGATCACTAGTCTTCGCAAAAGTACTTCGTCGCTCTTTGAGCAATATCTGCACCCACATACGGTCTCTCGCTCTTTCTCTCGTCCCCTACTGTCTCAACGCATCGAAAGCTTCACAATGGAAACCACTCTCACACACCGGCCATGGGAGCCTGCCACAACGGGACCGCAGGGTATCCCAACCACTCAGACCCTGCCTTCGATCTCAACATTGACAGCGAGCATGACGGGTATCCCGACCCCGGCGGAGAAATCGCCTGGAAATGCCTCGTTGAATACAATCGAGCGAGATTCAGGGAACTGGTCTATGCCTCAGAGTACAAGTAGGTGGCTTGATGTTTATCGCATACGTAATCCATGCTGACCGCCTACGCCAGGATCTTCGACTTATTCCACCGCGACGAACGGCACCGGAAACTACCCCTCTCTTTCATTCCTCACATCCTCACAACCATCCCCGAATCGCGTCTCCCTTGTCTCCGACCGATCTCCATACCCCAATGACCTCTCCAGTACCACTACCCCTTCTTCAGCCGGAGCCCAGCCATCCCCCAATTTCGGTCACGCTCAACCCCCGACGACACTACCTTCCATAAACCAAAATTACGATGCGCCTTCCCAGAGAGCCAGCATGGCGGAGCCGGCAGAGTCGCGACGGAGCAGCGTGGATAGCAGGATGAATCAGGGAATCAGCTCTCTCGCCATCAACCCGGCTTCCCCATACCATAGCACGAACGCCTCGCAGTCGTCAATTGTTTCTGGCCTACAACGGGAACGTGGGATTTCGATGGATGTTAATATGAACAACACTTACCGGGGTCCTCGCTACTCTGCCGGACAACCTCTTTCTCCACTTGGCCCAAGAGCTGGCGAGCATCGTAGCTTTGCGGCTGGCCGCACTGCACCTGCGATTTCGTCGAATCCTCGGTCCGAAATTTACAATGCGGAGGCTCCCACTGCGGGTCTCGCCTATGCCTTCCCAGATCCAGATGTCGCCCGGTCGAATTCCGTTTCGTCTACCGCCGATAAACCTCTTAGCGGCCATCAATTCACACGGAAAGGAAGCACGGCAGAGTCTCTGGCTAGCAGTGTGTACTCCGATGCACGCCTACCCCGTGGACAACATGGTATGTTTGACGCACTAGTCCTGGGATGGTCTCTTATGCACGCATATGTCTAACACTCAACAGAACTCCCTCAAAATGTACATCACCATACGCTTCAGCATAAACAAGTCCGTGGTTTGATTGGCGAGGCGGAAGCGCATGGCGGCAGCACTCCCTACAGCCGCACACCAGAATTGCGCGTCACCCACAAGCTAGCTGAGCGGAAGCGCCGGAGCGAGATGAAAGATTGTTTTGAGGCCCTACGCGTCCGTCTTCCGCAGAGTCAGAACAACAAATCTAGCAAATGGGAGACTCTCACTAGAGGTAAGCACTTATCCGCCACATTGTTAGCCATCCCTCATTAACAACTCCAATAGCGATCGAGTACATAAGCCATCTGGAAAAGATGCTCAACAATGCTCGCCGCGACAACGACGTTCTGAGGAGTGAGGTTGATGAATTACGCGCGCAGCTAAACCAGCAGCAAGCCAATGGACAGTCGCGCCAGGCGTCAATATTCGAGCATCACACCATCTCCGCTCCGCAGACTAACGGTCAGGTACATGGTCCGATCTACCCCAGCTACGCCCAAGGCTCTGCCATGGCGCAAGAGCAGCCTCGTACATTACCCCCACTTATGAATGGGTCTGTTGCTCCTATGCAAGGCGTACAGTACACCGATGATCGACGGTAACTTGAAACAAGATCATAGCGTACCGAAATACATCCCTTCATGAGGCCTTGCTACTAATGCATTGGTGATGATTCCTCGGCGACCGCAAC